ATGGCTATCGTTCTTAATTATGTTTTGATTGATTTTACTCACTTCCAGCTTGATGTAAAATGTACCTTTGAATATTTAGATTAACCGGATTATTTTTGGAGATTTCGTCATTTTCATCATTATGACCTAGTAAACTCTAGTAAACTAAATGATTTTCGAATACAAAGACTATGCGAATCTTTTAAAAATCTCTTGAAAATTAGCGGTATGACGGTGAACAGATTTTGCTTAAAAGCTACTTAATTGCATCAGCCAAATAATAAAATAAATTCCATTTTCAAATATTAACTGCTATGTTAAAGTTTCAAGTTTTGCACATAGAGAAACAACGCTCGATTACACTTGATGTACTCTTGCAATGTTACATTTTTCTAGCAATCTAGTTTTAATGGTGAAAGAATTTTAAAATTCGTCAAGTACTTTTTGCGCTTATTCGTTACAAACATACTAAAATACAAAACTGTCCTACATGGTTAAAGGAATGTGTACCTACTGCAACTACATACCTACTTGTTACGTGACTTCTTGATGAACTATTTGATTATGTATGGTTCACGTAAACTTTATTATCACAACTGAACTTGTTATTCAAGACTAGAAGTCGTACTTAATATAAAAACAGGAATGCAGATTCTTATTTTTATTCAATTTACGAGTAGGTACCAACAGCTACGAAGTGTTTACAAAATACGTAAGAATTTTAAATTAAAAAAGAACTGGTACTTGTAAAATAATACATAATACAGTATATATGATAGCTTGAATACACTTATTCGTTAGCCCGTAGGTATTCGGGTGCACGAAAGACATTACTCGAATTCGGGCACCCGAAGCAATATTCTGAAATGCGGGCTGGAAGACGGTGACTGGTAACCAAAACGAAATTTATCCGATAAGGGCGTACTCGACGTCGTTCATTTACACTTAGACGTTTATCTGAATTCCATTGGCAATCGTATTCTAAGTGTAATTGAGCCATTAGAATAAGATAGCCATCTTTAGGTACTATAAATTACTAGTTGCGTATATTCGTAACAGTGTCGAATTCATTTCGACTCTTAATTTGAATGAAATATAAAAACTTTTTAGCATAAAAATGGAACCGCTGGAAAAACCGAGCAAAGCGAGCAGCAAAAAATAAAAAACCTTTTTTATCTTTAGACATAATTGTATTTGGAGTCGGTGCCATGCATGTCTGATAGATCTGATTATCACATTTAGATAAATAAAAAAGTTTATATTTTCTGCTTTTCAGTTTTTTCGGCAGATTTTTGTAATATACAAATCGGCATAAAAATCTGTGAGTGAAACATCACCCCTATTTCCTTATCCTTAGGGTAGGATTTTTGTTTCTGAATTGATTGAGGATCAACTTTGAGGTATACGAGTACCTTATCTAATAAAAAGCGGTCTAGTGCGTGTCGTGCCACGCGCAGTGTAGGGATCCGTAGATATTTAATTGTCTTTTTTAAAATTTGTTTTTCAATTCAAGATTTTACGCGACATATATACCCTTTCCAATAAAAAAATGTGTGTGTCAGCTCCGAGTCGTCGTTTTCGTTTTTAGAGTTTACACTCTAAAAACGATTGTCTTTGAACAGACACAAAACAAAATCAAGCCCGAAGAAGTCGGTTACAAGTAGAGATACCTCAGGAATCGTCCCATGGTTTCGACTATCATAAGTTCCATGTCACACATTTTATCATCTAACATCAGCGATATTCATCATATATTTTATTATGTATTTCTGGAAACACACAATTTCAAAAATAGCACACACTAGTCATCATTTTGTAAATATGTATTATAATTCCATCTGTACTGAAAAACACTATTCCAGAGTGCTGGACACTTACCGGCATTTCTCTTCTGTTATTTATTTGTTTTCATTAATTTTGCTCCGATTTTATCTATTTTTAGTTTATTTATTTTATTGACATTTGTGACAACAATGTTTTTTATCCGTTGCCATGGCTAAAAGTGAAAGGTGCGCAGATGAGGTTGCGCACAAAAACGTAACGAGGTCATTAATGTCATTCATCGATAGATTTTACTCCTCACATTTTTCTCATATCGGGCCCCTTATATATGCAAATCGATTCTTATGGAGTAAACTCCAAAAAAAGAATTGTCAAAATCAGACTTCTCTGTAAAAAGTTAAGAGTGATCATGATCATACATAATAAAATATACGCGTCGACTTGATAACCACCTCCGTTTTTTTTCATCGGATTTTTTTAAACATTTATTTATTACATTTTAAGTTGATGAATATAACATAATTGTGATGAAGAGGATTCGATAGTTGGTAGAGAAGGCCCATCAGAATCCGAGGCCGCGAGGCGAGATGCAGCCAGGGAGGTGGAATGGCTATTTTTTTTTTTAAAATAACCTTTTGAGACAAAAAAAAATTTAGTTCCATTGCGACATTTACTTGGTAACTAAAATACTATTTACTCGGTATTCATAAAATTTTGTCTTGTTTTTCAATACAATAAAGTTTGATATAGTTATTGTGCAAGGTCGTTAAGCAAGACTTATTAATGAAAGAAGTACTCTTCATACAGGTATTTACAACTATGTATTATATGAGTATAGAACAAAATACAATATATTTATCGTTACATTATCCGGTAGCTCCTAAAAATTATAATCAGCGAAATATCAAAGGTGTGTTGTTTTAATTATTGGATGTAGATTTCATTTCTCTTTGTATCTGCTTAAAGACCATACCTTATTACTTCAACAGGGCTTGTTAAACATAAGTACGATTTCAAACAAATCTCGAGGATTTGCAGTAAACCGGCGTGGTCAAAAAGACCGGTTTACTTATCTCTGACGATAAACGTTTTACGACTTCAGTGGACAGACATAAACACGTTATGGATTCCTCGGCAACTTTACTTACAGAACTTGTTAGATCTTTATGTGCCTGGATGTGGCTTTCATTTATTAATGAGTCAGAAAAGTTATAAAATAAAGGATGTGTGTACATGAAAATCCTTGTCTGAATTCGGTAAAACGAAAGTATTCAATAAGCCCTAAAAATGCATCTCGTGCGTGGTATACGACCTTCAGTCCGTAAAAAATTGTAAATGAGCTAACGGTTAGTAGTAAATGTATATTTTTTTTTTATAATTCATTACCTGGGTTTAAAAATAGGATAGGATATGTACCTGAATAAAACTTCAGCCTCTAATGAGTACCGTTTTAACTTATTAGAGGTAATTCGTTAATTTTCGAAGTTTTATACTTACAGGTATTCAGTGGTTCCGTTTTAACTTACGTGCTGTTACATACAAAAGATTTTTTTTCGCGATTTTAGAGTTGGTCCCATAGTAAAAGTTGTACCTACTTGTTCATGAGTAGAATCCCCCCCCCCCCCCCCCCTAGAGGTTGTTGGTGTTTTAAAATTAACCCTGTATATTTAGCTTACGAATATATGATAGTATTTTCTATGTTAACATTTATTACTAACCGTTAGCTCATTTACAAATTTTTAGATTATTATCTTCATAATTTGCGAAGTTTCATACAAACATTTCTCCGCGAGTCATATTAACTACTTCTACTAATATCTGTGTACCAGTGTCAGCGCAATCTATTCAGTGATTTGAGATGTGCATTGATACATCAGTCAGTCTTACAGTCAGTAATGGTTGCTTTTTATATATTCGGCTAACGAATTTAAAATAGTATTTCGTATGTTGTATTGGTATAGGATAAATTTTGGTCACATCCAGTGTATTTATAAAACTCAGCGTCAGTTGGACCGCTCTCCTTTATATCAGACGGGTCTTTCGATTAAGATCTTTGCCCACATGCCTCAATTCGTGTGCTTTCATAACAGTCGCCATTTTAATTACTCATTATCAAACATACACTTTAATTTAACCTAATAAGCGATGCTATAAATTTATAAATATAATTGCCACGTCGTAAGCTTTAGCTGTTAAGATCTCCGTGGGTGGTAATTTTGGGTGGTAACCTTGGGTGGTTACCGATAATTTGAACTTAATTATTTTAGTCTTGTTAATTAAGCTTTGATTTCAATGAAACCATCGCTTTATCAAGGCAACGATATTATGGTATTTATTTAGTAATCACACGAAAGCAGTTGGTCTTTTGCGCAGTATGGACGGATAAGTATACCACGTCACTAGTATTTTGCTGTGGCTACAAAAATGATTATTTTATTTTTTGCAGACTCTAAAAATTTTATATTTTTAAGTAAACTTTTGTTGCATGAAAAGAAAAAAAAGAGGATTGTATCTAGCAGTTACATGCTTAAAAAAATAAAAACATAAGTTCCACAACATAATTCCTACCCTAGCAACTAGACTTTCTGACTTTGCCTATGAGTCCGAACGAATAAATATAAAATTAATTTTTCTCATTTATTTCTAATTATATCTGCTAACTACTCTTAAATCATGCAACGGATTTTGAAGCGATTACGATTTTTTATTTATTGTTATCTACAATACATCAGTGCTATTCTGTGAGAACAAACTTACTTTTCAACGCGGAATCCGCGTGTGATTAGAAATAAGAACACTAATTTCAATCAAGTGGTCATTGTATGCCACTTGTTAAGTCGATGCTTTCGGACTACATCGACGTTAACAGGGTTTATTTTACGTTTTTATGTATTGTTATTGATTTTAATTATATTTTGTATTTATGATTTTTATTTTATTTGTGTGTGTTTATGTATAAGTTTGTATAAATGTATAATACAAAATAAAATGAGTAAAATATATATTTTTATTAATTTGAGTTTGATTTAATATTTAAGTGTTATTGAATTTCTTAAAATTATTTACAATACAATTTATATGAATTTTAAAATGTTCTACTATTTCATTTTTGTTTATTATTTCCTTGTAATTTTGGAGATTGATTTATTTATAAAGGTTAGCTTATCAATTGTATTTTTTTTCAGGATCAACCACTACTTTTTTTGATGATCATTTAAATATGGGCGTAAAATAAATACCTGCAAAAACGTGTTCCCTTCATCCCTGTAAAGGCTAAATGGCACATCGTTATCCACCACGTCCCGCAAGGTCACCCATCCTAAAGGCGACAGGTATTGGGCACTCGTCACCGCGCAAATTGCGTCAGTCACATCTGTAATTATAAACTTTAGGTTACCCAAAAGAATAATATCAAGAAATTACAAATTAGTCTGTGAACAAGTAAGTAGGTAGGTAAGTGTAACCAAAAAACGTCGATAAGGCATTAAAATCGTTTTATTTTTCACATAAGAAGCTATTGACACTGTTTTTTTACTTTTCCGTAACGCATTCTAATAGGTTTCCCCATAAAATGATAGAAAGCAATTAACGGCCTTAAGAAGTAGGTAGGTAAGAGGTACTATGGACATTAGGATATAATATAAGGAAAACTTGATATTTTTGTTCATTGTAATTTACGTGAGATTCTATTAAGTATGTAATGTTAGGTACTATTTTTATAAATATGAAAAAAAAACAAACATTGACGTTTTTCGGCCCTTTAAACCTTTTCATAGAATATAGGGGATGATAAAATAGGGGATAATTTCTAGTGAAGCTAAATAAAATTAAAAAAGACTATAAGATATACATAGGTATATAAGTATATATTATACTAGCTATCCCAGCGAACTTCGTACCATCTTAAAAAAATAGGGGCTGGTAGTAGAACGGTGTAAATTTAGGGTTGTATGTATTTTTGTATGAAGTATCATAAAAAAAAACAAAAAAAAAACCAAAAAAAATTTAAGGATGGACCACTCTTAACTGGTCGGGACGGAGACGGGACACGGGATGAAAAATAGATGTTGTCCGATTATCAGACCTAATATATATAAAATTTCATGAAAATCGGTCGAGCCGTTTCGGAGTAGTTCAATTACGCACAGCCACCATGCCACGAGAATTTTATATATTCGATAATATGTTTTTGGAGGCGTTTTTACCTACGAAACCGTTTTTAGATGAGGTACTTACCTAAGAAAACAGTAAAATAATATTACACCGGGGCGAAACTGTATGTTCATGAGATAGTTTACTTTTTATCATAGACGTTTTTTTTTTACTACAAATAAGAAGATAAAAAGACCTTGAAAACATTACACTCTTTTGGGCAATCGCGTAATAAATTTAAATAAAAAAAATAATTAATACAGTTCTGAGTCATTGCAACACATATGAACAATAATTTCAATTATATATACATATCCGATATGGTCTAGTGGCTAGGATACCTGGCTCTCACCCAGGAGGCTCGGGTTCGATTCCCGGTATCGGAATGTTTCTTTTTGCTTTCAGTACCTTTTTTACTCACCGGTAAAAATTATTTCTTTTGATGGATAAATAATTTGTCCTTTTAAAGGTAGAAAAACGAAAGGTATATGAGAGGAAGCTGCGCCACTTCCAAATTTGGCGGTGGAACATTCTGAAAAGGAAAGAAAAATTAAGTATTATTATATTTCCTAGTGAGACGCATGTGATTAGCGCATTCGGCTATGATCGTTGAAGTTAAGTAACTTTCGCAGTGGTCGGTCATTGGATGGCTGACCAAAATTTTTCTACCCCGAGCTCCTACGCGCTTCGGTTAAGCCGTTGGTCCCGACTACATCTGCATTCCAGCATCCACGAATCCGCACTTGGCCCTCGTGGTGGGTTATTTATGGCCTATTAGGCCCTAATCTTCATATTCCATCTTAAAGGAAGGCCTGTGCCCAAGCAGTGGGATCATTTAATAGGCCGATGTTGATGATTATATTTCCAATTGTAAAAAGCCTACTTTTATTTAATACATATACACAAGATTTGTAATTTCTCTAATATTGTAGCTTGTAGCATAATAACGGTTTCGTAGACGTTCAATAATTTGTGCTAAATGCGTAGATACGTTTTGCATAATCATAATATGTATCTTGATCTGTACGACCTTGGGTATTGTCTCGTCTGGAAATCACTGTATCTGGTTCAGCATCTAAAGATGTCAAATCATAATGTAAGTACTCTAATCTCTCTGATGTCTGACCTCAAGCACAATGTAATCAACGAACACTCGCATTACGTTTATCATTTATTCATAAATTCATAAAGATAATAACACTTAAAATAGAGCTTTTGTTTTACATTTATGAAAATATCTGATATAATAATACTCAATTAGATAATAGGTTAAACCAATAATATTACATAAACAAATGGTAAAAGCGGTAGTTGCTGGGTAGGGTAAAACCTCATAAAACCGTCCCCATAAGATACACTTAGGTCTTGTTTCTGAAAATTTAATAATGTCGCCTCCACTTGTACGTGTCGACTAGACCACCAGATCTCCACAAACTTAGGTTACTATATGAATAATGGAGGTATTGTAATATTGCTTGATAAATTTTGAAGTGAAGAAGTGAAACATTATTTCTTTAATGGTTATTTTTTGACAAAAGGTTACTACTCGTACGTACCGTCGATGTGATTGACGCACACTCTCTGATCCTCCCTGAAAGCTGGCGTGTCTCGTCTACATTGGCACACGCAGCCCTCACTACCCATCGCTGACAGAGCGGTGCCGTGCGATACCTCCATACACCTCGTTGGTCCGCAGTCAGTACCTAGGTGAGGAGGAAACAAAAATAAAAAATTATAATCAATCTAAAGAAAAATATTCAATAAATTTCCATTCGGTTCAGGTGTTGAAGGTCTTTTCTTCTTATCTTACATAGTAAAATAGGTACGTCATTTGTATGAATGTGTAAGTGATCATGAATTCTATTAAAAACATTTATCCAGGCATCAATTTTTCATAAACAAATACTCCCGTTTATATTGTAATAAAAATAAAAATCAAAATTCAAATTTTTATTGAAGAATTATGTGCAAATTGGTATCCCCCTCCAACAGCAATAATTGAAGTAAATGGAAAAGATTTTTTCAATGGAAACAATACTCATTATGACAACTTTTACTAATTCTTAGTCGGTTCGCAGTTTCTCACCATGAATATGACGGACTATGTATAACATAAAAAACAAATATTTTAATAAAACCCTTCCGAATGTGTTGTTTGACTTTTAAATCGCTGCAGCAATTTTAAATCACTTCGTACCCATCACAGACAGCATGCACGCAGAAGATTTTCGGACACAATTTATGTAGAGAGGGAACGGTTAAATAGACGAAGGGTTGATTTTGTAAGAATAGAGGCAAACGAGATACCAAGTTTTTTTCAAATGACTGAAGATCATATTATTGTACTGTCTCTGGGCAGGTACCAAACATATTTCAATTTTACAACGAACTGACTACAAATCAAGTCAAGCGCCATACTAGCTGTTATTAAACATAAGAAAAGCTTTCTAGTCATATGAAAATAATTGCTGTTTAAGTGGATACCAAGTTCCATACATTTTTGACCATCATCCTTTAAAATTCCCAGGAACTAAGGTCAAATAAATGACACTACATATTATAAGATAATTTGAACGTGTCCTACCGAGCACCTATTCTAATTCAAAATTTAAACTCACCAATAAGTGAAAATAAATCTCCAGATGCAAATCTCGTGACATTAGCCAGCGCCATCTCACCAGCGGAACCAGAAACAGCTGACACGGTGACCGCAATTGAGAGCATAATCAACGCCATCTGTTGAAACATCTTGAAACCTGTTGCCGCGCGTGCTTTTTTCTGTTATTTGTTACAAAGCGGGCCGTGCGTTTCTTTGGTTATGGCGTCATCCATCTTCGTATTGCAAGGTACAGTTGACATCATCTGAAATAGAATGAAAACAATTATAACTTACATTATGAGCCAAAGAGATACAGTGAAAAGCCTAGATTAATGATTTTAAACATCAAATGTAATCTTAAGTTTTTCATTACTTAAAAAGTAATTATTGGTTAGTTTTATTGGTTTTCCATAAACTACCTCAAATAGTTAAAGACATTTCATCCCTTTACAAGAATAATGTTCATGAAATGTGTCTATTTCATATTTTACTAAAGAGATCAATGTTATTGATTTTGTAATTTATCTAGTACCTAGCTAGTGTGTATGCGTTTTAAGTCGAATCAAACCTTTTTGATTGTAGGCATCCTGCATTTAATGCCATTTTCAATTTATTAAATTTTTGTCCTTGCTTGGGGTTTTCTCACCCCATGGTCACCCCACCATCCTATGTGTTTTTTACACGATTTCTGGCGATATGGCCAGCCTATCATATTCTTATCTGAATCAAATCAAATCTAAAATTGATAACGTAATTACGATAACGTAGAATTTTCATGGCATGGTGTGAAATTATTAATTTGCATTTTAATTGAGGTATTTACCAAAAGTAGAGAGAACGTAGATTCCGTTTAATCGTTTGTAATATGTTTAACCTTAAAATTTAACCGAAAGCTGCTAATAAGTTATCGCGATAGATCAGGAATTAGTTTGTTATTTACGATCGACGAGAGGCAGAGCAAGTTAGTTCCTATTAATTTATTCAGTAACGACTTTCGTATGTCGTTTAAGATGAATTCGTCTAGTTTCATTAAACGTCATCTTCACGATGATAAAACCAGATTTCGCGTCGTTTTTTCTCTTCAAAAACTTATGCACAAAGAACAAACAAGATTAATGCTTTTTCTTCTTTTCTATTTTTAGAATTTCATTATTCTAAAAAGGTTATAAGTAATGGATTATTGAAATTTATAAATAGAAATCATTTCTCAATTTAAACACTAGACACGATTTGCAATTTACAACAATGATGATAAATTCCAGACAATTTACATAAATTATTTAGTTTAATTTGTAAACAGAGCTTATGTATACAATGAATTCTATGTATCATATATAGGGGAAGGGGGGGCATGACGGGGTAGCGAGGTAAGATGGGGTACTGCACACATAGAAGAAACTAGACTTCTGTGAATATAAAACAATAAGCCAATAGGAAGTTTCTTCGCGTCTTTTGTTAACAAACGGAAAACTGGTTTAGTGTTTGGTCGATCTAATTTTTTGTAAGTTGAAACATATTTTATTTAAGGTAATTATGATCACCCCATTTATGTCTTTTTGATTTTTGGTTACAAGTGTTATGTATTTTGATGTGGTATGTTGTTTGTAAGAATCCGTTAAACATTTTATTTGATATTTTTTTTCTATTCAGAGAGGCCTTATAAGGCAAGATGGGGTATAGGGAGTGGGGTATGATGGGGCATTGGGGCAAAATGGGGTTGTGGGTTTAGATTCATTTAAGTTTCTTAATAAATAACATAAATTTATTCTTTTTTAGGTAAAATCATGGTACGTACTTATAAAAAAAAATCAAAAGAGGGGAGTGGTCGATAGATTCTATGAAAATAGCTGTAGATAAAGTTTTGAGCAAAGAGATGGGATACACAAAAAATGCTTCTGCATACGCAGTACCTCAGACTACTTTAGAGTGATATGTTAAGAAAATGAAGGAAGGGGGTGAAGTTACTATTGGTTTACCCTAAGCCCCGAAAAATTCTATTTTTACATGTAAGAAAGAAGGTGAAATAGAAGCATATCTGAAATATATGGAAGAGCGTCTTTTTGGACTAACAATTACCGAACTGAGACGTCTAGCATATCATATCACAACGCTTGTGCAGGCGTGGACGATGAAGATCTGGAAGAAATACACATTTGCTTGTTTTGTGAGAACGAATAGCCTTCCCCATCATGCCCCATAGTATGGGGCAAGATGGTTTTTCATAATGTTCCTATTAATTATTAATTATAAAAATATGTGATACGTTGATTCTCCAAAGACTGTACCAAATCATAGTTAGATTAATGACTTAACGTGCCATAAATTAATGAGAGTAATAAACATAGTGATTGCACTGTAATTTTGCTATTTCCCTTAGCTACCCCAGCCCTTCCCCTACCTAATGCATAAATAGAAGCATAGGTGTCCAGAATCCTCCGGGCACTAAATTTTCTATACAAAGGTGCTGAACAAAATAAAATCTTTGTACTGATAGTTGTTTATTAAAAGCCCTTTTTGTTTTAATCTAAGTATAAAAGCAACTATTGGTAGTTATATTTTGTTCAACACAAAGTAATTTTATTTTTACGCAATAAATATTATTACTTGCTGGCAATGTGAATTAAGTACAGTCACCATCAGATATATTGCAGCAGACAAGGTGACCAAATACTTCTTGACATTTTAAATTGTTCACAAGTATTTGGTCACCTTGTCTGCTATATTATATCTGATGACGGCTGTACCTATCAAGCAAGCAACTTAAACGAACTGGAAAAATATACCTACACAATAACAGTAGAAACTAATGCTGCTTAAGAATGGCTAGAAGAATTTCGTCGCGGTCTGTGAGGGCCGCGGTAGCATAATTGGTCAGTGCATTCGCCCGGATTGCGAAGGGTGCGGGTTCAAGTCCCGTCTGCTGCCTGGTCCGCGTGGATTTTTTTCTAGTTATATTTTCTTTAGATTTAAACATCAAGCAGTTACATGCCTTAAAAATAATAAAAATTATAAGTAGAAACTACATTAATTATTGACTTTATCGGATAAAGAATAAATAACAATACAGTGGCTAGACCGATTATTAAAATGAATAATTATGTAAATTGGACTCGCCCACGGATTTACTCAAACACGGAAATGAGAAGATTTTTAAGATCTGTACACATAGAGAAAGTAATTTTGATTATCTATACCGCCAAGTTATAAAATACCTATTGCAACAACAAATTTAGGGTGGCAAAGAACGTGGCTTTTAGGGAAATGAAAAAGGTGTATTTTAAATTTAATTCAAAATATAGACTTTTCTTTAATATGTCAATTACTTTTACTATATAGAATAAGCAGGTTGAAATTTTGTTTTCACACTATTTATAATAATAGGATATTATATTTTAGTTCATGAATTTCTCTAACACATACACATATATGTATAAGCCCTGATGAGTAAAAATTAACAAATTAATGTAGATGATAATAAAAAATTATGCCTATTAAGAAAAAGAGGTGCCCTCAGTACCTACTTACGTTACAAAATCACAGCCGTGAGTGAAAATCGACTTAATAATAATACAAGTTCATGTTATCATTATTTATGTTTGAGCGCAATCACTGACGTGACAGGTAGATGAAATTCATTAGAAAGACGAACTAAGTTCTTAGCTTCATGTTTGTATGTCATACAACGGACCTTATTGAAAATAGATGCTTAATAAAGTAACCTTTGACACCAATAGAAATTAATAAGAGATGTCTTAAATCACTTAACAATCGGCTAATGAAACATTTATAGAATGGATTATGACTTGGCATGTCGGAACTTCATTGCTCTTGAGCATAAAAGTAAACAGCGATAATCGCATTTCCTGTATTCTTTGAGTCGAATATAAGTAATAAATATCAAAAACGAAACTAATAAATAAATAGTATTGTATTGCTTATAATAAATTTAAACTATTTTCATAAGCCTCACATTTGTTTCAACAGACTGATGGATCGATATTAGAGAAAAGATAAATGGAGAAAATTTGATAAATATGAGATGGTGAGAGTCGCTTAGATTTTATTTTTATTTATTTTTTATTTTTCTAGGTCATTGTATTTTAGTGTAGTGTTTATTTTGTTTTAAATTGCATTATATAGGGGAAAAAACCGGATAGTTGCCCCACTTTCTAATAAAGCTCTATTTTTAGAAAATATAGACCTACAAGTAGTGATGCATCATGTTAAATTATAACCAGGTCCTTAATCTTTAAAAGTAGCCTGTTTTTGAAAACGTAATTAATACCGGTTTTACTCGGGTAAAACCGGATATTTTACTCGAGCGGATAGTCGCCAAACGTAGAAAAATATTCTAGGGATTCTTGCCCTGTATGGGAATAGACAACTCGCTATATTTTTTTTAACGTATTTATAAACATATTTATATCACTTTGTATAAGCAGTTTAAATTTTATTTTAATTTTAAAAGGGTGACTAACAGGCATATTACATTACTCCTGCTTCCTTTAGGGGTTGCTCCATGTTCTTTGAATAAGCAGATGCTGCCGTTTGTCTCCTTTTATTATATTTTTGATATTTACGAAGCATTTCGCTCAGAAAATAGTAATTTCATATATTTAAAAAAAAACTTTTATTCACGACGAGTTGGAAAACATAAAAATCAGCATTTCGATGATAATAATTTATAGTTGCCCATAGAACAACTATCCGCAAAAATAAATAGGGTAACTATCTTCTTGGATAGGTGTTCTTTTAAAATAAATAAAAACTATTCAACAATAATTTTGACGTCAGTCATCGCAGCGGAAATTATTTTCTCACACAGAAAAAACGTATGCGTCTAATTCTACAATTTACATGACATTAAAGCCTAAGGGAAATATATTTTATGTTATAGAAGAGTCCCGGTTTCGAGAACATAGAGTACTCGAAACCGGGACAAGTATCCAACTGCGGCGACTATCCGGCCAAGGTAATATTATCTATGATCCGGCTTTTACCCTAGGCGTCCAAGTACTTGGCCGCCTAGGGTAAAAGCCTATATCCGTCCTTCAAAAACTTTTTGTCTCAATTTTAATTTTGAATCTTAATTTTATCGCAGAAATCAAATTTTAGACTCATCCAAATGAGAGATTGTAATTCTGGAGTGTGTGGGCTACTGTGTTGATAGTTCAAAGATTATAAATTATCAACAAAGTTTTCGGGTGTCTATGAGCCCACGGACGGAATAACATTATGGAAATTGTTTTTCTATTGCTTCACA